TTCTGATACTACGATATGAGTAAAATAAATAAACGTCACATGTCGGCTAGTTCACAGATGACTTACAACCTTCTGGGTGAACATGGTGCCAACGATGTTGTTAACATCCTGTCGTCAAACGTCATCAGCTGTTTGTTAATAACACTGAACCTAAAGCCCATAATAACCACTTACAGAGAATGGAAATAAACCAGAACATTTTATGCAGGTCAAGAGTGTTTTTTTTGGTAAAACTGGGTTATAGATATAATATAAATTAAAACAACTCCAGGGCTTTTCCTTGAACATTAATAGTATATATTCAACCAATAAAAACACGTCGTACGGTTTAACTAAACACACACATTCAAAGCTGGAAAACCAGGAGACCGACTGTGGCGTTTGTTCTGTCAGAACTCCATCTTCATCAAACTGAGACTGTGTCAATAACATTAACATCGGCCCCGTTGGTGAAACCTCATCTATTACTGCTATAATTGTAATGATATCACGTTATTGACAAGAGGAATCATCTTTTATACTGTGCAGAGAGAACTGTTGACAGAAACAGATGGAGAATCAATAGTGTCGCCGGGGGCTGGAGGAGGAGGAGGAGGAGGGGGGGGGTCTAATAGTGATATTAAAATGTTCAGAAAACAGACAATGTCAGTCAATCCATCTACACAAAGGGAGATGAAGATAAATACTCAAGGCATCCCTGAAGTACAGCATACACAGGCCTACTGGTCTGCATCAGGGTCTTACAAGTCAGGGTCACGACCCCAAACGTCCTGTGGGGGCAGTAGTGGTTATGAATCTTAACTGAGATTATACAGAATCCCTTAAAGATAAATATATGAAATCATCTTTGAAAAGGACATGAGAGATCGTCTGATCTGAGCTGAAGAAGAACTTCTGTTGTTGTTTGTATTTTATGTGGACGACGGGGGACCGTGGGACACTGAAGGACGACTGTTCATCTATTGAATCCAGTTTTAGAAAAACAAAAAAACAATCTAGAAACTGTGCAAGTTTAAAACAGACGTGTTTCCGTACCTCCATAAAAGAGATGCCCACACTCCAGACATCTGCGTGAATCCCATACTGTTCTCCTGATATCCTCTCAGGCTGGAACAGAACCGTGGAAAAACAAAAGAGCAAAATCAGGAATCTGGACTAAGATGAAACGATGCATTTTTTTTTTTTAATTCCAACTGCTTAACTGTGACCTCAAGTAGCTACATGTGCAGTTAAACGTGACAATAACAATAAAAAAAATAATAACTCTCTTACCGCCATATATGCATTTGTTCCAACGTAGGTTTTGGCAATTGAATTCACCAGCTGCAAATAAAGAAAATGATAGAAAATGAGTAACTTGTAGAAATTGTTTTTTTTTTAATCTCAATCTATCAGACTTGACCTCCACGTTTATAACTGTGACGACTGGTGTCCTGTGTTGCTCTGACATTTTCCCCCAAAAAATGTATGGAAGTGTCAGGTTGATATTTTAGGTTGTTCTCAACACAAACACACACATGGGAATAAGTGTAAGACAGAGAGACATGAGGCCAGTGTGTGTGTGTGTGTGTGTGTAAGAGACAAAAAGAGTGTGTACACAATGGCACATGTCATCAATGACAGGACTGTGATAATGAGAGTCTCCTCCCATATGGCTGCTTTTATTCCCAGCATGCCCTGCACTGTGCAAGGGAGAAAGTGTGTGTGTGTGTGTGTTTAGGTGTGAAACAGAGATAAATAGAAAAAAAAAAGAGTTAAACAGCAACAGTCAGAGTCCTGGTGTTACATACACGGGTGATAAACCTGACCTTGGAGAAGACGTGGAGGTGAAAACAACATGTAAAGAGGAGAAAGGAAAGAAAATTGTGAGCAGAAAAGATGTGTGTGACGTGAAGGGGCCTCGGGGTTGGTGTTTTGGGTATCACTGAGGGTCTGTCATTGATGATTGCATTACACCCCCTCACACACACACACACAAACAGCAACAACACCATTGTCTGCGACCCACGCTGTCCCCACATGCACTGAATACATATCAATGAGGCTGGGTGGTGCGGTGGTGCGGTGGTGCGGTGGTGCGGCGGCGCGGTGGCAGAGTGTGTGCGGGTCATAATTATAAGGAGTGATTTTTCTGCAGGCTGCAGAACAATGGCAGTGGGAGGAGAGTTAATGTGAGAGGGAGCCTCCAGGGACGGCGCTCATGTTTGGAGTTGTAAATGAGTGCAGTGATTGACATATTGACCATAGATTGCTCACGCAGCCACAAATATGCACTGACACACACTGACACACACACCAACACACACTTTGGTGAATTTTTTTTTCTTTTCATTTTACTAAAAAAAAATTACAACAAAGATGTGTAAACCCTCTCAGGGAGTATTCTAACAGCAGTTGATTGAGTTTTTTTTAAATATCAATTTTTTACCTTTATCACCTGTTTTGTTGCTCTTTAATTTCACAGAACAACATGAACAAGAAAAAGTAGGATATGTTTTAAATATCTCTTCATTTGTTGTTTTAAATTTTCCTAAAAGGTCAGTTTTCTTCAGAAGTTTGTTCTGTTCTTTTATTAAATTAAATAATAAAAAAAATCTATTCTATTTAGTCTATTCACACTGATATTTACACCTATTTAACCTTAACCCTGCGTGATTCTGGTCTAAGGGTAGAAACTGGAATAACAAAATCATGCAAACTCTATCTCAGACAGACTGGGAATCGCACCAGAGACCCGATGATCTGCTGGCTTCAACTAAAAACACTTAAATCCAAAGCCAGCGTTCATAACCACCATTATATCATTCTCTCTCTCTCTCTCTCTCTGTGGGTGATGATAAATGAAAAAAGCCGACAAGGACTTGTGTTCAGCCCTGTCTCCAGGACAAACTCTCAATGTTGTGACAAACAAAGCAGTTTACCTGTGTGCTGACACCAAAGTCACAGAGCTTGACTTGTCCTCGGGTGTTCACCAGCATATTGGACGGCTTGACATCTGCAGAGACAAACTGCTTAACTGAAGTGCAACATCAGCACACAACACCAGTCTGCTCTCAAAAAAAAATGATAACAAGTCCAGGCAACACCACACTCACCTCTGTGAAGAATCTTCAGGCTCCACAGATACGTCAGGCCTTTGACTACCTGGGCACAGAAGGAAGAGACGGAATGTTTGACAGTGACAAAATTAACACAGATAATTACAGCACTAAATTTAAATATCAAGGAGGACCGTGAGGTTAGGGAAGTCTTTCTGTCTCAGAGACAGTGAGTCCAAAAACTTCACTCACGCTCCTGGGTGCTAATGCTTCTGTGATAATTAACAGCTGTGACAGTGGGGAACGAGTGAAAGCCGGGAATTAAAATTAACACGGACTAAATAGCTGTCATTGCTTGATTACGGACAGAGTTAAAAAGGAGGGGGCAGAAGAGAGAAGGTGAAGACATGGGAGGGATAATGAGTGAGAGGAAAAGAGACAAGCATTCATCAACTTCAAGGCCGTCCCTATCAAAATGTTAGTCTTAACTGATTAAACGAGGACAGGGAGGAAAAGAGCGGAGGATTAAGAGAAAGACACTGACTTTGTCTGTCACTTTACCCAATAGAGGCTAATTGAAATGTTCACACTTTTCCCCATCTTTGTGTATCTGACAAACCAATTAGAGGTCACACTGAAAAACTGGACCTTCAATCTACCAGTGAAATATTCAGCTCGGTTCCAGCTGATACCAACGGTACTAATGGAGGAACACAATGATCGAATAATATACACATAAATACATATATATATACACATATATAATTACACATATATAATTACACACATATATAAATATATTTACACATATATATTTACACACATATATAAATATATTTACACATATATTCACACACATATATAAACATATTTACACATACATACATAGAAATATGTATGTATAAATATAAATAGTATATAAATATATATATATACATGCATACATAAATCCACTTACTTTTTAAACTGGTACTGTAAATAACAGAAACCTAATGCACTATCATATGATAATTAAAAATGTGCAGAACAACAGTGTTAGAGAGTAATATTAGAATAACTAAGTAAATGAAGGAAACTTACTGCTTCTGCAATCCTGCCCAGCACGTGCTCTGGGATTCTTTTGTACACATCCAGAGAACCACCTGCAAATGACAAAGAACTCAGAGTCATGGACTTGGAAAGAGGAAGAATCAGCAAATTCAGATGAAGGTAGACAGAAAATATTGCTGTGTATATTGATGTATTAACTTCAGGCAGCACCATTGAAGCCAGTTATCAGTATTTTCTTGTCTGTAATAAGTGACTCTGTCTGTTATTGTTCCATGAACTAAGACTTGACAGACTGTGTCAACACATTAACGCAGCCTTTGACAAACAGATCTAAAACCTCCAGACGCTCCCACGTCTTTGCGCACACGTACCAGGCTACGACTGCACTTAATCCCACACGTACCAGGCTACGACTGCACTTAAGTCCAGATTTATCACAACCTTGTAGCTTTTAGCACACAAGCATGCTAAACAGCTCACAGCGGTAAGACGTGCTTTTGATCTGCAGACGTGTAAATGGATACACAGTCAGGAGACAAGAGGAAAGGTCCCTGATGTCTCTCCCACTGCAGGGACGCGTGAAGGAATAAGAAAAAAAAAAGACAGAAAGACAGAAACTTGCCGTCCATGAATTCAGTGCATATGGATATCCTGTTCTCAACGAAAAAGGCTCCGAAGAAGGTGATAATGTAGGGAGAATCACACTGTAATACAGAGAACACACGTGTCAGACAGTCGTGTATTTTTACTAGTGCAACCAATCGACATTATTTCAACTGAAAAAGCAACAGCCACGGAGTATTGTGCCTGTGAATATGAAGTAAAAACAACTTTTGCTGTCCTTGATGGTAAACATGCAGTAAAAACAACTTTTGCTGTCCTTGATATAATGACTTGAGATGACCAATAAAAAAAATAGAAAATGTATATGTTCGAAATCAAACATTATGTTGCAAATCACTGTCAAGTTCTGTGACCCAGAAGGTTTTTGCGATGATGATGGACATTTATCATTGACACAAAAGTCCTCAATGATAATCTGAACACCTCAAAAGTTCAGTTAGAATAAAAATCTAACACAAATACACTCTCTTTATAACTTGAATGTCACATATTCTCTAATCTATAATCTAAACCAATTAACTAACGACGTACGTGTGATTAAGTGATCACTAACCTTGTAGAGAATCTCTAATTCCGACATGATCTGCGTCTGCAGCTCCACTGTGATGTCCAGTGGGATAACCTACGTGGAGATTGGATGGTAGAACCTTAAGTCCATCAAAAAGGTTCAAGTACAGTTTCAGCTGGACCAGGTCTTACCTTGACGGCTAAAACCCGTTTACTGTGGACGTGGTACGCTCTGGAGAGACAGACAGAGATGGTTGAAATGGGACATAGTCAAAAAGCTCTAAGAAAGTTTGGAAAAAAAAACTAACATATTTTTAAGAAAATAACAAAGCTGTTTCTCTGCAAACCGTTCAGTTTAGTCTAAGAGAAAGAACTCTTTCTTTGTAGAATTCTGAAGGAGTTCTTCGGCACAACCTTCTCCTTTGTCATGTCTAAGGACACAAATCCAGCTTCTTTTCATTGTTTTGGAAAGATTTGGAAAATATCAGATGGAGCAGATGGAGCCAGATGTTGCACTGCTCAATAATTTACCAGGTTTCCATTCACACAATGTAACCTTGAACCAAAGGCCTTTCTTTTTTATTTGTGATACTTGCACGATCACTGGCCATGTTCAGCCAACCAAAAGATGGAGACGTTTCATCAAAGGCCTCCACTGCTCCACAAGAGTTCAAGATAAAGAGATCATTAACCGATATGAAACATGAAGAAAAACAAAAAAGTCAAACCTAGTGGAGCTGCGGCACCACTGCATGTTGGAGGAGACGTCATCAAAACTGTTACTATTGTTAACATCTAGAGTTTGGTCAACAGGAAGCGTCCGTTTTTACGTGTACGAATTAAAAAAACAAAACCCCCCACAAAGAAAGATGGGTCTAATGGACTCTAAGACTTTCCCGTTTTTACTGATACTACAGCACGACCACCTCTTGGGATTCTAAGAGTCGATGGTGACGATGATCTTAAACACAAATTTTAGCCCTTGAATATTTTACATAAACTTTCCAAACTGTCTGTTTTATTACAGTATTATCCAGAGATTTGCTATTAAATCAAGTTAAAAAACTATAGACTTAAAACTACTACTTTTAACACTATATCTTAAAGTCAGAGTTTATGCTAAAGGACAAGGTAACGTAAGGCGTGTTGGAAAGTTGGTGCATGTACCGCTCACAGGTCTCTACTCAAACCAGACCCAGTCAGCCCTGTCACTGCTTGTTCCAGACAGAGTTTTGAATTGCAGGTGAGGCAGCAGCGGCCCCAGACCGTCCCCGTAATGATTTAATTATCAAACTCCTTAATGCCAAACATGGGATTTAGTTACACTCCTCGAAGGTTAGTTTACGGCACCTGTGACAATACCTCGGGACCTTTCAACATACAATCCTCAAGGACAAATACAGTCCAACAGCTGTCAAGTGATGGAGCTGGGGTGGGAGCAGCGGACGTCACACAGGAGGGTGAGCTTGCAAGCAGGCAGTGTTAACGTGACACCGGGCTGCTCACCTGTCAGCGGGCCTTCCAGAGAAAATGTGTATGTTGCAAGATGTGATTAATGTGTTTTAGATTAGAAGTATCTCGTTTCACGTCTTCAGCCAGACACCTCTAAACCTGCCTGGGCCTTTAATTAATGACATCTATTAGAGCAAAGTTAGGTATAAGCCAGGGTTAGAAACAGACCAGCACTGGGTCTGAGGCATTTTCAGTCTGAAACTGTTGACCCCCACAGTGCAATGCCATAAATGTTGACCCCCTACATTTAGTACAGGTAAATGTATATGGTAGAAATTACTATATTTTTTCTATTGATCCCACACTTAATTATGTTATGTATTATCAGCAGATCTATGGCAACAGGCACCAAGTATGTGGCTCCTCTGGGAATCAAACCTCGGACTAACCGCTCTCTGCTAATGATGTAGGCATGCTAACCGCTACACTTTCACAGTCCACTCAAGTGAAAAAAATCAACACTGAGGAGAAAATAAGAAAAACTATGTCCAAGTGAGTTTAACTCATTTCCAATATCAAACAGTTGTGTGTTTGGCTGAAGGCTGATTGTGTAGTTTTCATTCTAATGTATCTTTGTCTTTGTCTGAGCTGCAATCAATGTCAGCTAAGCATGACTACTGCCTCTTAATTAAGACGGAGATGTTAATTGAGGCAAGATCAGTGGAGGAGACGTGTTAAATACTGGTGGGGTAAGTAGTGCACCAGGCAGCCGGAAGAGATTAAACTGAGTCTCGACTGAGGCTAACAGTTTAACTCTCTCAGTGACACAGTCTAGAGACATGCTGAAATATACTGTATGTCCAGGTCACGGCCCAATACATCTACAGTAACTGCTCCTTTACTGCAGGACTGGTCGAAGCAGTAGAACAAACACTGCTGGAGGAAACACCACAGGACTCACAAGTTTCTCTTGTGCCTCAACTATATCTTTATGTATAATTATATTTTCATATTTATGATGGGAGGAAAATGGAACAAAATGAACAGATGTCCTTTTTCATGTATAATTCTGACTGAAGAAAGGTTCGGATTGAAAGGTTTGTTATCATCATCAGTATTACTTTGTATTTATTTATTATTTATAACAATACTATTTCGTTTTTTTTTTAACACATTATGGTGTGGGCAGCACGATCCAATATTTCCAATGTTGCTCTAATAAACAAGAGTTTTGGTTTTTACCAATGAACCTCAAGCTCGACCTTCTATCGCCACGCCCAAAATGTATTTGCGGAGGCACCAACTTCAGATGCCAGGTTTGTGTCAGACCAGGATCACTGAGTCCTGGTCAGTAAATAAGTCTACCACTGACAAGCTGACTGACACAATTGTCAAATGGATTACTGTAGGTTGATTAATACCGTTGAAGACAAGGCCTTCACCGACGCTACCTTACCTTGCTGCCCCACAGTTATAGTTTTATACAATTTCTAATGTCTGTAATGTCTTGGTCGAATGTGGGAAAGAACTTGACTTGATTATAAATTCTCCTAATGACGGACAGTTCATCTTTCACCCATAGGGTTTGGAGTTAAATCCAGCAGGATGTGTATTTGACATACAGTACATTGATAAGTAGTCTGGCCCAAAGACGTGTTGTTTGGTAATGTTGCATGACCCCACACCCCCCACCAAAAGAAAAAAAAAAATCGCTGTTGTAATTTTTTTACACGTTAGCTGTAGTTTATGTAGGGCAAAATATTTATTTTTTTCAATGTACTTGAAAAGGAACCGTCATCTATATATCGACAGCTTAATTTTATATTTATTTTTATTTGCTGTGTTAACGTGGGTAAAATCCATGGTGTATCTGCACAATGGACCATAAAGTTTAAACAAATGTGTATGAGAGTGAGGCATGTTTGAAAAGCTGGAGATAAAGTGTGACCACTGCTTGGTGGCAGCGTTGTTCCCAGTCTGTCCTTGACTACCTCGGGGCAGAGGATCCCTGTATGAGTTACAATGACAGGCTTGTGACAGCAGCAGACACAGTGACAAGGTTACATAGCCTACCCCCCCGCCACTTCCCCCCAATCTGACCCCAGTAAATGTGCCCCATTGCCTGGATCTTATTTACACTCCACTTCGCTCTGTAATAAAAGCTCCATCATGCAGTATTCATAGGGCCTCTCTCTACGTCTGTGAAGTTGAAGCTGTGAGTTAGAGAGACTGGTCCTTTGGATTAAGTCTAACATGGAGGAGGGACGTCCATCTTTGGACCTTTCCCAAACTTTCAGACTTAACAAACCTACAATTAATCTACTTATAGTTATATCTAATATATATATGTATATATTAGATATATATATTTTTATATCTAATATATATTAGATATATATATCTATATATTATAGATATATATAGATATATATATATAATATATATGTGTGTGTGTGTATATATAACTGTATAAGTATATATAATTATATATATAATATATTATATAAATATAGATATAAATATATATATAATTAAATTTGAAATAAATTCTACTATGATCTATAATTTAAAATGTTTTGCATTTATGTACAGCAATTCCTTAACTATAAATACAAATAATAGTTAAGTGTTTCATTCTGTTTTTAGGATCCATAGAATCCATTATTATATATTCCTGAAACATATTTGTAATAGACATTCAGCTTTAGGATTAGAAACGCATCATTTAAAATATATAGGATTTTAGAAATGTATTTATTAATTATTAAATATTTTTATTATGGTGTAATTACTGCAAGCTAAAGAATCATAGGATTATAGATTCTGTTTCCAGAGTACTGAAAACAGACAACTTGTGAAAGGTCATAGGGGTCATTAGTTATTATTCTATACTTTCATCCATGAAACATCCTTGAATCTTAAAGCCTACATTTTAAACCCTACAAAAATAAGCAGGTTGTGTTTGACACAATAGAGGACAAACATCACAGCAGTGACCAACAAACTTTTACTGATTTTTAGTTTTGAGTTATGCTCTGTATGTAAATACTGTAAATTCACTTCAAATTTCCATTGGTTGGAGAATTTTAAAATAATAAACAACAAAACTGGATTTGATCTTATTTTTGTCTCTTTAAGACAAATAACAGATTATAGATAATAATTTCTGCCTCACAGCCTTTTTTTTCCCTCTGTTGACGTTCGACTCAGATGCAGCAACTTTCTCTGATGGCTCCATGACATGTAACCTGTTCTGGGTGTTTGTCCTGCCCCTCAACCCCCGCCGATCTTCAAAGGATAAGTGGTATAGATAATGGACCCAAAGTGTAAACAGTGACTACCATTCACAGTGATCTTTACAGCCTTAACACCAACTGAAGTCATCACACCATCAGTCACCAGCACGGCTGAGGAACCACCTAAACATATCAACCCTGTAGGAAGACAGGATGAACTGCCGCGTTAACGGAGTCATCATTCAAGCAATTCAATGTTGTAAAATTTATACTGATTGCATTTATACGGCGTTACCGGTGACAACGTAAAGCACCCTAAACTATGGGCTACATTACTCCTTTCATTTACACATTCATAGCGCTGCTATATAGCACTCCTCGAGTCATATATCTGGATCACACGCCGACAGCACGGCCAGTCGGGGCCATTTCAGGTTCAGTGTCTTGCCCAAGGACAGGCAGGGGCAGACGGAGATCAAACCATCAAGTGATGAGTGTTGAGTTCCTTCTCTTTCCCCGAAAAAACCACAGCGTTCCCATTTTGTCTTTTATTGTACCGTAAAGATCACGTCACCTCACAGCAGATTTACATGTTTCAACCTTCTTTAAAATAACCACTGAACAAAATCGAGCATGATCCTTCCGTTAGTGTAAAGATGTAATCTAAAAAAAAAAAAAAAAAAATAAAAAATACTACGGTACTTATGTCACCAATTAACTTAAAAAAATAAAAAAACTACGGTACTTATGTCACCAATTAACCAAATCGATTTCACCCTCAATGAAAACACCAATCAATGAAGTACCAAACAAAACCAAATCAGTGCAGAAACTGAGGGGAGATTAGAAGAAAAACACACCGCGTACCCAAGGAGGTGTGATCGGAAAAAAAAGGGCCATTGTGTCCTTGTTATTGTATTTATAAGCCACGGAGTCAGAGTCAGAGATTGGTGGACAAGATGGGCCTTTGAGAGTGTGTGTAATAAAAAACAAAGGCCAACAGTGATGGATGGCCAGGTCAGCGTGAGGCTGCGGAGAGCTGAGGTGTTGGTAACATCCAATTGAGTCTAAATGGCTCTGGGTCATAAACGGGGCAAAGAGGTTAAGAGGTGGGGTGCCTTTGGTGGTGCTTTTCAAACGTGATAAGCCTAATATAAGCTGGACCAAAGGGTAGAGGCCGAAGAGGAAAGAGAATTCATTTCTAACCACAAAGCGGACTGAGCTGCTGTACGGTCGAAGCTGTTATACTTCACTTTCTCTCTACGACTGGTTTGGAGAAGCTGTTTATCACTAATATATGTATTGATATACATGCATGTACGGAGTACTGCATCCAGTACTAGAATCAGAAACATTTTTACTTTGTTGATAGTGATTGATGGGGAAAAGCCAAAAGCATTTCAAAAGAGGACATGAGGAATAAACAATTATTATTTAAAAAAAGAATAAAATAAAAACAGTCCAATTCATAAAGGGCTAATTTTCAGGGAAAAACAGTTTAAAAAAAAATTAAATAAAAAGTTCACTGTTTTAATGTACTATAACTGTGTTGCACTAAAGTCAGTCCTCTTCTACACAGAGGTCAGTCACTGTGGCCTTTACTTATTATTGTACAAACACAAAAACAGTAAATGAGTGGCTTTTGGAGGTGATTCATCCAACGTTGACTGTTATTTATTTAATCAGTTTATGCCCTTGATGGTGAATGTGAGGTTCATATACTTAAATAGAACACAAATTGTCACTGTTCAGCATTATGTTAATTCAATTTTGCTATGAAATACTTAAAGTAAAAGTGAAAAGAGGTCTTCAAAGTTGACTTCAATTGGCAAATTGAAATAAAAATTCTCTTAATCTTAACTGAATGCAACACAACACGGGGGTCGGCGTGTCAACGTTCTTTTACAAGCCGACTAACAACCTGTCAATAAACTTTCAAAGGCGATGTCAAGGGAAGAACGATAGTCAATAAAGTTTCTACTGACTGACAAAATAATTAAAATGAAAGGAACAGCAGAGGCTATCAGGAGTTTTGGGTGAAAATTTCCTGGAGGTGATTTCAAGGGCACCGACACAATTAACACCAATTAAATACAAATACAAATTTGCAGAAAGGCCTTAAACAAAAACAATGTGCCTTTTACGGACTCATTCAGTAGTTTACGAGTCTTCTTTTTAAACAACTTTTCTTTTTTCCATTGCAAACTTAAAATACGTATGGCCCTAACTTATTAGAATATACTTTCATGATTATAAATGTTGAGGGTAATTGGCTGACCATCGGTTAATCATTCTGTGATTAACTAATTTATTATGTATTAACCTTTTACTGGAGAAGTAAATTTCTCCTATTTTTCAATGATTTCTTTACATTTTACATGTTGTGTGAATGAAAAGTATGTAACCTTTTAGTCCAGCTTTAAAGAAATAAATGTAACCTTCAACTGAATTAAAAAACGGCCTTTATGTCTTATTTCTATTATTTCATGCATTCATTTTTTTCCTATTGCTTAGTAACAAAGGGCATGTGAAGGTCACTGATAGGTGGACTCTGGTCCAGATGTGGACCACGTCGCTTTTCTACGTCCGGACCTGTGACTGATGAAAGACTGAGATTTGTAATGATCATAAATTATTAAGGAAGTATTGAGTATTGTTATTGACATGTCATTGATGGGCGTGGCCAACTGGACCTTCACCTCGAGGAGTTTTCAAGGATTGGACCTAAATAAATTATAAGCACGTTGTCCTGAGGTAGACGGGAAATAGAACGTTTTCTAATCCTTATTTGAGTTGGACTCATATGGTTTAATTCAGAATGATCCATTTGATAAAATAAAAGCACATGCCACAGTATCAGAGCATAAACAACCAGATGTGTTTTCTTTTTTGTCCAGTAAGCATCAACGTTCCAGCACCGGGGTTGTATAGATTTTCTTCTGAGCTAAATTGACTGAGCAAATGTTGCTCCTGCGATATTGGCCTCGCCCAGTGCAGTGTAACCATCGCAGGTGCCAAACTGATCAGCAACGCCATCCGTCCACAGCTACCAGAGACCCAGGTTCTTATTGGACACATCTTTGTCACAGGCCAATAAAAAACAGTATAGGGTATAAATATAAAAGGCGGAAAAAAAATATCTTATGGATTTACCAAGAGAGAATTTACTGTGTTGGGGACTGAGAGTGGCTGACCACTGTTAAGTCAAGGTTAGCCTGAGCAGTGATCAATAGTTCACTCCCAATAAAGCTGCTCAATAGCTATAGACAGAAGGGACGACGGGAGGTAAAGATGCAGCAGAGAAAGATAAAGGAAGGAACACAAATGCCAACGCTGTCATAACGTTAACAGGGCAGTCGGCCATTTGTCAGGCCAGTGAGGACGCGGCTCTTCTTCTCTCCGTCTAATCGCTCTATAGTGAGACACTACAGACCGATTAAGGCAACTGTTGTCATACCTCCCAGTCCCAAATCAATATCATAAATGTTTGCAACCTTCAAAGCAGAATAAATAAATGAAGGCGCTGACGGGAACTGGGCCAACAGATGTCCGCCAAATACTGAGAGATTGATGGCAAGATAAAAGAAACAGAACGTGGACCACGCTGCACAGTGCTGCGTGATATTTAGTCACATAAACCAGACGGGTGAAAAAAATGTATCAGTTTAAATCAAGATAATCAGACGACGCGTGTGTCATTATGTAAAGGTGAAGACTTACTTGTAAACTGTGCCCCCGTTCCCGTGTCCGAGCTGCTCTTGGTAGCAAATATCCAGGGCATTTATCTGCACAGCGACAAACACACACATATGGAATTATGTTTCTATGATGTTATGACATGAACCGACATTTAACCGGTGGATATGTCACCACAGAGAGCGAGGAAAGGAAGGGGGGGCTGCATTGTCACGGAGGGGCGATAAACAAGACAAGTATTCAGGTCACATCAAGTTCAACAACACATGGAGAGAAAAGAGAGGCCGAGGTAAGAGGAGAGGAGATCAATACGACATTTGCTGTCCACTTTATAAGAGGACATCGTGCTCCAGGATGTGGGGAGGGGGGGGTGATGGATGTGGAGGTTAATGACCATTTGTTGACTGCTGACATTCTCTTCTTTAATTTGATTCGCTGTCTAAGTTGTTGCCCAAACGCATGATTAAAATTGGAATTCAAGATAAAATAATTGTGGATTACTCGCCCAGCACGGAATCTGAACACTGCATTTTACTCATCCAAAAAACCACAAGTTTAGACTCTTTAAGACAATGTTTCCCAAAGACTGGGTCGTGACCCTCAGGTGGGTCGCAAGAGTTTTTTTTTTGGGTCGTCTAGCATCATTTCGCAGGAGTTTACGAATAATTGTCTATTGACTTGGGACACAAAGGGTTGTGACTTTTAAAATAAAAAAAGTAAAGTAAAAAAAAAAAGTTTGGGAAACACTGCTTTAAGATAAACATTTATTTTAACACAACTGTACACATTATAAGCTATAGTGGGCCGCATAAAATAATGTGGCGGGCTACATTTGGCCCACAGGCCTTAGGTTTGACATACAGTATGTGATGTATTAGTGGCTGCGTTTGGATTTGGATAAACTGTGGTTTACAGTTACAGTCCCTACAACGACCTCACCTGCCCGTTCGTCAGGATCTTCTTCAGCTCAGCAGACGACTTTTTTAAGCTGTGGGGCAGAAAACAACACAGACGTCAGTCGAGTGAAATCATTATTACTACAGTCTTTATCATGTAAACAGTAAATGTTCATTTCAGGTGAGTCACACGCTAAATTCCCCCGACTCTGCCACAAACTCACCTGTTGTTGGCCATGGAGTCTGAGACGGCGTGAGTGCAGTCACTGGCCGGGTTAGGTCGTGTATTCACCTGAAGAGGTACGAGTGTGAAGAGGAACAGGTAAATACACAATTAATCAACGACACGCTTTCAGTCGTCAAGGGCAGAAAGGGACACATAAGTAGACGAAAACACACACGGTCAAATCCCCTGACGTACGAGAACAAAACAAAGACTCTCAGGACAGCTGTGAGATTAATTAGATTTTATACCCAACGACGAGAGGCACGGAGGAAGGCGGGAGAAAAGGACAAAAACAAACAATAAAAAATAGACAATTACAAGTGAGATAAAAATAAATGTATATATTAAAATAATGAGAAATGAAAAGCAATTGAAGGTGAGGTAGTGATTTAATGAGAAAAGCAATTGAAGGTGAGGGAGTGATCTTCAAGACATTTTTTTTTTTTTTTTGTAAATCTGCATCTTTGTTTACTCCAAAGACTGTGCTCAGCCCACATATTGAACAAAAGAAGAGACAAAGAGCCTGTAAAGGCAAAACTAAAAATAACTTCTTTAATTGAGGTCAAAAGGCCACCGTGTTGGGTGTACTAAAGCACAGGGATTCTCTCCTTAATTAGTGCCCAGGACGACCTAATTTAAACAATGCACCATCCTCTCCATAGACAATTACTTTTATAGTAAAACTGCAGAAGAGAGAGAGAGAGAAATTACCAAAAAACAAAAGCGTTTCAGATGCAAAAGAAAAACCTTAGAGAAAAACCAAAATGACACTGATGAGTGATTGTGACCAACGCCCCTCAGAGGATACATTAACTAAAGCACTTTCAGTGCTTGGGCCGGGGTGGAGGGGTAATTTTATTAATGAAATGGAGATGGTTATAATATGGAAGATAACAGAGGTGTCAAGTCATTTAACCCGTGGTAATTAGCAACGAGTTCCAATTGTAACATATGCCTGACACAGAAAGGGGAGGTCCGGGGAAGGCCGTCGGAGGAGGCTTGTAATGACAATTTCATGGATGAACAATGACGCCGTCTTACAGCTCGAAATAGAGTCGGCTCTAACTAAAGCTGATGTTCCTTTTATCGTGAGGAATGAGAGGATCATAATAGTCAGGAGGGGAATCAGGCTTCCAGCTGTAACTCTTTGCTCTTTTTAAATGACCGCACCAGCTCAAATACACGCACAAGCACGGAGAGAAGAGATGAGAGTCCCGCCGCCACCGCCGCCGCTACAGCCTGCCACGACCGTAGGTGTAGAGTTAGACGAGGGGAGCAAGAGAATGAGTGAAGGAGAAGGAGAGCCTTGACTTCAATTGACATTTCAATAAGTGGAACACAGCATTACCAATCCATTTGCCTCCACTTCCCCACCTCCCCCTCCCCTTCTCTGTGTAAGGCAGCTGAAACAATTATTGAGATACGTACCTTCAGGCCATGTATGTTCCGGATCCCTGGAGTCTTGCCGGCTGAAACAGTAATTGACTAGATTGTAGAACACATCACTGGACCATTTACAAATGTGCTGAAAAGGAATCAGTTCTTTATAAAAGGAAAAAAAATGAAAAGAAAAGAAAAGAAAAAAAAGAGGACATGAAATGAGGGTTACTTTGAAATAAGGTGTAGACCAAAGTGATGGGAGATGCTGTGCTCTACCAGAAGTATGAAGGAACGGAGAAAAAAAAAAAGAGTTTTTTAAAAATATGGAGACAGAGGAGAAAAGAAAAGACAGAGGGTGATGAGGCCAGACGTCGAGTTAAACAGAAACAATAAAATGTTTTATTTCTTCAGCCCTGGAGGCTTTAGGGATTATGTAGGAACAGAACCGAAAAAACTATATGAATATACAAAAAAGGCATATATTGAAGAATCCCTTGTTGTGTAAAACTAGCTTTTAAAGAGAAGCTGCACAATAACAGTGAGGCCTATCTACGCCTGGATCTACGTGACATGCACTCGCGGTTCAAGTGTCCTTGAAGCGCAAGCAATAGTGAACTAATAAGTGAGTGTCAACACGGTACCAGAACGAGCCGCAGAATTATAATGTTGTCCAGAGGCTGCGCTGTCATTTCCTGTCATTAAAAGCTCCCATTTACTAATTGTTGTAAAAATATTCCCCTCACACAGCAGCGTCTGCCTGGAACATGTTTTAAATATGGAGTGAAATTATTTTAAATAAATGAACTGCAAACACGTATCGGGCCTTTCAGCTTTTCCCAGTCGTGATGAATTGTCGTGTCAATTTGTACCTCTTGGAAAAATCTGGAGAGGGTCTGGCAGCAGTCCACTCATGCGCTGTTCATTCATTGTGTTGCAGTACTGAAAAGAACAGAAGTGATAGAATTAGAGGGTGAGCGCAACATGGGTTTAAAAAACAAAAAAAAATCCAGCAATTTTTAAAGGTTCATTCACAAACCACATTTTTACTGCAGCAAAATCCCACACCTCACCATCAAACAAAAATGTCACGGAAAGTATATGTAATTTGCTTGTAAACCTGGGCCTGTTTAGTCGAACACAACACTGATGTACTCACTGGAATTGAAGAAAGACACACAAGGCCGTCCACTACATTGTAGTGGAAGAGTATTTAACTGTTTCAGACAAACAAAGAAAACTAACTACTATAAAAAAATATTTTAGTAAATGACTGCACACTAATGTACCGTGATACAGTGGTTGAGAACCAGAACTGCCCTGGGAGATTTTTTTTTTTTTTCTTTTTTTTCCTTTTCCTAATATTTGTGTTAGGAACATGTTACATTTTAGCTACTTTTAAAAAAAATCGCTGGGGTGTCTTTAGTATTTTTTAAATATTTTGCTTTTGAAAATCTTTTTATAAAAATGTTTTTCAACACGCAATTCCACAATATTTCTACATATCATATTTTCTTAATTCTGAACATTTCTGTTTTCATTCCTTCAAAATAAGAACTATTCTGAAAATGCTACTTTAAGAATTCACATTCGAAGGGCTTCGTGCACTAAATATATTAAATATAAACATGAACACATGACATAAAAACAGATATCTGACAACACAAAGCCATACCAATTTTAATATGGCCTGTATCCACACCAGCCCAGAAACGTGTCTAATTAAATGACGTCAGAATTCATCCACAATGTTCCAAAAAAAAAGTGGCATGCTGAGCTGAAATCTGTTGCCGACGAGGACCAATGCCCTGTGGGCTTGTTCTGAAGGAGTGTAACATTAACCCTTCTCTCCTGCAGGTCAACAGCTCACCAAACATTCACATCCTACAGGACTAACACGTGCAGACACACTCTGGAGCCTCGCAGACACTTGCCAAAGCAAAGCAATAATTGATGTATCAGTTAACCAAACCATCTGTTAAACTGCGCGTGTCCGTACATGTGTGCTACGTTTTCCAAAGCTCCAGCGGCAGAAAGTGAACATCCAAGATTTTTTCCTGTGGTGCACTTTCCGGAGATGTACACCTTCATGTGGCCCACATGTGTTCATTGTGATTCACAAAAAAAAAAAAAAAAAAATTACAATTCTAAAGAACTTCCAAGTCATCAAGGCAAATGTGCTATGTAAATGTGCTCTCTCATATTGAGGGAGAAAGAATAGGAGGGAGGACGATGGGCCCAGCTTGGATGGGGATGGATCAGAATGGCTACCCAAGTGGCACAGCTGTTATTAAAAGGCCTATTTATCACTGTCAGATCCCTCCTCGCTCCTAGCCCTCTGCTTTCGCCCTGCAGCATTCTCACAAGGCTACATCTGAACAATGGGCCCAATACCAAAAAAAAAAAAAAAAAAATGCCGTTGTGTGTGTTTGCCGGGGGAAGGAATGGGGGGGGGGGGGTCGCACCTTTAATTTTCTGCTCAGCTAGCTTATTGATTAAGGCTGCAATTACAACCTAATCTGTAGTAGTTGTGTTATTAAAACACATTCTCCATTGTTGGCCAATAACTAAACAGTGTCCGATCCCAAATACCATCGCTCAGCCTGGAGGGAAAAGTGGGAGAGTGAGAGCAGCCCAGGCCTCATCATCATTAGCACGCTGAGGGGAAATGAAAGTTAAGAATGGCAGAATTAGAGACCCTGAATCCAGGAGGAGCAGAGGAAGAACAGATGAGGTCACATGGTTTTTTTTTAGCAGCTGACACAGACCAGTCTTTAACTTTGAACGGAGGCGTCCGTCTTTCAAGGTGTCGAACAATGATTAGAGATGCCTCCAAGACCAGTGTGTCTCCCAGGACCATGTAGCAATCAATGTAGCCAGTCAGGGGGCATACCTTTCACAATAAATGTCCTCTGCAGACTCATGTTAATTAAGTGCTCAACTTGAGCATTAATTTTGCACAAGCACCAAGTCACAAGAATTTTCCAGCCGGCAATGTTAAAGCAAGGATTTTGAGAAGGAGAAAAAAAAAAAAAAAAACAACTGTAGAGAGGAACGGGGTCTTGAGGCACATTTGAACTAATTAAGTCAAAATACAACACGTTCAGACAAAAACCAACAATGACAGACTCTAATGAATTAGCCCACCTCTCAGCCAGCAGGCGGCTTTTCCTTTTTATTCCTAATCATTTCCCATAATGGCTGTCTGCTCACCTGGAATAAATAACACCCTGCAAAAACCCACAGAGGGTCTCCACGGAGGCCAAACGGCAAGTGCAGCAAACAATCGCAACATGGAGTAAAGAAAATAAATAAAGAAATAAAATAAAATCCTCTGAATTGAAATGCAAATGCCTGCTGAATTGCAACACCATTGCATAATGCATTTAAAAAAATACTTAGCAAGTGTAAATTATATTTCAGTGACCCAAGTATTTTTGGGGCGATCAGCAGCTTTCTGTTCACGCCACCGTCCCGGGAGGAGAAGAAAACCATTACTGCTCTTCAAGACTTGTCCGCCAAAATATTCTTTGCAGAAATGGCCTTTTGAAATCTGTGGATCCAGCAGTGCAGTGTGTGACGCCTCATACATGTCCCGGGTCAAACCAGGGTCATGATTTAGATATAGTATGACTATGAAGACACCACATCTGAACAACGACAACGGCAAAACAAACAGTATTCTCTTCACGTACTGTAACAGATCTGCATCAGAACAAAATACTTTAGTTTGAATAATTGTCAAGTTGCCAAAATTACACCTTTGGAAATGATCAAATGTGGCATCGCAATAATAAAAACAATGATTTTTTTTTAATCATGAGAATATTAGATTCAAATTAGATTCAAGACTATGCTAAACTGAAAATTATACTCAAGTAAATTACAAATAAAACAGAGTTGTACAGAAGAATATAAATAAGTAGAAACATAATAGAATATGTTGGATTAAACAGAATAGAATACAGGAGGTCCTCAGTTTACGACGTCCTCGACCTACAGCGTTTCGTGGTAACGTCGCCATCTCCCATAAATGTATTAAGAAAGTCTTGTTCCATCGTTCCAACGTAGAACCTTAAAACTAATTTTGCACAGGAACTAGTTGGTGAGTGGATGGATACGTCGTCACTGATTGGATTGTGCTGCATTCACTTACTAAGAGTGGATGGATACGTCGTCAATGATTGGATTGTGCTGCATTCACTTACTCTCATTTGTGTTGTTTTTTTTTTATCCCCCTCATTATGGCTCCAAAGCACAAGTCAGACTCTTCTGATGTTTTTATGTCCTACGATGTCACCACTGTGTTAGCAGTGTACTGATAAATATTATAAATATTAAGGGTGTAAAATGCTAAATGCAACAGTGTTCCTAATGATGACAACTGACTGCTAAGGTGGATTATTCCTTCAGTTGAGCTTTTCCATAAAGTATGGATTAGATTTCCAGCAGTAAACGACTAGTTTGACCTTTTTCAGTCCGTGGTGGTTATTGATAAAATCTATTTCAAATCAAGGAGTTTCCAGTGAAGTTCTTCAGACAGGACACATGCGTCTCTAAAGATTCAAACATGACTTTTGAATGGTAAACCAGGTGAAGGCCAGTGCTCCTCCCAAACCTCCCGTTTCATAACCCTTAGTGACAGAACAGCTGTCTCCTTCCACTTAATCACTGTGCTCCACTAAGCTACAGTACTTCATGATTAAAAAGCAACCACAAGTGAATGCATCATAAAAAATGGGCAGAAAAAAAAAAGAAAAAAGAAAAGAAACAACCACTGTAAATTCGGCCGATGGCTCTCACGGCATCATTGTAAACTGATGGGGGGTAAAAGACATCCACAGATGAAAGTAGATTTTGAACAATTCCGCAGCCCGGGGGGGGCGCTCTTTAATGAGGCAAAACTTTAAGTACTGAATAATAAATAATAAAAATTGACAGCTCATTTAGCTTTGAGTGTACTTTGTGGAGAAAGCCATTAGACGCCATTACTCTTACTGTCCGTGACATGAACAGTAAGTATGGGTGGAATATGAAAATGTTCTGCTTCAGGTTGGGAAGTGAAAGGGAAGGAGGAGACATCTATACGTGTATGTACGTGTGGTAATTATTGGAAAACTGACAAGATGTTTTCTCTCACGGCCTTGGGCTGAACACAAATTAGTGATGTGTTAGTCTGAACTGCTGGGCCGCGTTAAAGCAGTACTGCTTCACAAGGAAGCAGTGAACACATGGGTACTAATGAGTGAGTCAATTATCTCTAAACAAAAACTAGACCAGGAGTACTCTGATCAGTCTGGTACTATAGTAAAAATATTAACAAGCTCTTAGATCTCTCTACACCATACAGCAGTTCAATGGTGTAGTGGTTATGAACCCTGCCTTACATGCACAAGGTCATGGGTTCGAACCCCAGAGGAAAGACATCATTTATGGTGCCTTCCCTTGGCAGACTATGTAGGTTTCAAAGACCTCCCCATTGGGAGAATAAGGGACTGCAGTTTTTTTTATCAATTTCCTGATGAGGAAAAATAAGGTTCTAAAATACAATCTAATCTAATGCATTGTTTTAGTTGTAATTTCAGGTCAATATATGCTCTGAGGCAGACTTCATTATATGCATGTTCCTTTTTAAGCTTCCGTGGGCTGCATTCAGCCCGTGGGCCTTGGGTTTGACACATGACCTACAATTTGTCTAACACTTAATCTTAACTAATGGATGAAACACAACATCGTAGGTCACCATTGTTTATCATGGCCACAAGGCAAGTTTAGTTTAACAGTAACACACAAAGAAACCTACAGTACTGCTAACATTACTACACGTGACAAAAACATTTCCAAATTAACTACCAAACCTGTGTAAATATTACAACTAGATGAGTATAGTTAGTGTTTGGTAGAAATTTTGCAACTAAACTTTAGCGTCCTGCTGCGTTTTCATATCTCGATACAATGACAACAGGAAAAACACAGAGGCTGTGGTGAGAGAAACAAAGACTTTTGTTCTTCTTCCTCCATGACACACTGACCACCTCACAGGATTTCCTGACTTGGACACCCACAAGAATCTCTAAACCCTTAACACATTTCACATAAATATATATTTTTTATATGTAAAGAAAATCAGGTTTTCTCATTCTGTAGCAAATACAATAAAAAATAAATTTTCTAAATTTCTTCTCTCTGGTACTGAATGCTTCCCGGCCTTCAAGCTTTTGATTTTTTCTCAGAATTAAGATCTTAGACGTATTACTGAATTTTTTTTAATCCTATTTTAAATAAAATAATTAGTTTTACAACAAATTTTAGGTAACCATGAACAGGACAGGGCTTTTGTCCTCTCCATCTCCAAAATCATTCAGGTCTAAAGAGACTGAATAGCATAATCTCCAAAAACATTCAGGTCTAAAGAGACTGAATAGCAGGTACAATGGACGTCAGACAAGATTCCTTGATGAAAAATTACAGCAATTTCGAAATTCTTTTTAAGTTGCCAAGTCAATCATTGTCAGTGTAGAGGTGAAACACGTCAGGGTTGTAAACAAGGTTGTAAGATGCCCAGTGAAGCAGGAAGTGAGAGAACTGTTGATTGTATTTCACAATAGAAAACATTTTTGAAAGTCCTAGTTCCTTTACTCTACAGTCAGAACAGTCTCCCTGAGTGATCACCATTATCTGTCCCACGTACCAAATTATATTCTCTAACTCTTGGCTGCAAGGCTCTGCACAGAATACTTACTTAAACACACTTACATACGTCACAAAAATATTTTATTTTAATATTTTTATGAATGAAATTTAATGTGATTGACTCACACCAACCTCCATGTATCATGTACTCACATATGACAACATGGCCTTCAGTTCTTCATCACTTCTGACAGTAATTCTGTCTCCCACCTCATCCTCATCTAAAAAATAAACACAAGAGTTTAAAACACAATTGGCAAAAAGAGACATTATTTCAAAGGTGCTCATTAAAAGTTAAATGTTTAGTTTCTTGTTATTTATTTGTACTGGACTTTCAGTTAAAATTAAACTATATGAAGTGTGGGGCATTATTTATTTTTTTTTTTTTTAAAGAAACATGTATATTATTATTTTTAAAAGAAACATGTATAAACTTATCAACGTCCAACATGTTTGTTAGCTGTCACATTACCAGTCGATAATCTACGTACATTAACGTGTTTACACCGACACATGTTAAAGAGACACTCACACTCAAAGGCCGTGACAGTGGTTTCAGGCATGACATCTCTGATGGCGACCTGTAAAGTTTGACAAAGTGATTTATAGCAGAGGAGACACTGGGTTAAAGCAACACTGAAAAACTGTGGAATCCTGCGACTAGAGAGAAAAAGTAACGCGTTGTCATAAAGCATAAGAAGTGACACTAGGTCAATAATAACGGACCCGATTAAATGTGTTGTTGCGAACCACCTATTACAATGTATTTGAACTCCTGATGTTGATGGGTGGTGTAAATGAATAGCTAGCTGCTGCGGTAGCATCGTTAAAAACTCACCAGCAATTCATTGAAGTTCAGAAGCGACGGACAGTCCACGGACGAGTCCATGTCTCCTGACGGTGTCTTAATGCGAATCACTATAGGTTCCATACTTATTATGAAGACTATGTTATCCTGGAATACGACTATTGAAAGATGACATTAGCTGAAACGGCTAACTTCCGGTCATGGTTTGTCGGCGATAGTTATTATCATCTCGCTCACTTTGAGAATTGTTGAATTAATAATTTGAACGCGCCAATGATGCTGTTCAAATTAACTGCGAGTTAAAATGTGTTTATAAAACGCTGTTATCTATTTCGCCAAGTCTAAATGTCACTGTTATCTGACATTAAGCCACGAAGCTATTTTGGAGGAAATAATAACGGAGGCGTTCTCAAATCAACATCCGTTTTCTGCCCTTCAGATTAAAGACCACGCAAACCGTGTCAGCATGTTCAGCAGCATGCCAAAATATTCAGACTGCAGACGGACTACGACACAACATGACACATTCAGTCAAACACTTGTTGGCTTTCTTTCATTACATTAAAAATACTATGTATAAACAACGAACACACAGATATAGTTTTATCAAAACAAAGGGCTGAAAATGATTCTGTTAAAGTTTTGAAATCAGAGGAAACATTTGTAACCTAACTTAACCTTAACCTAAATTTAAAATGACTTAATTTAGATTGCATTTTTTTAGTGGTAGTTTGCAACTCTATCACTGATATTGCTTAACATCTCGTCATTCTTTGGAGGATAATGCTTGTTGTTCCAAACTTTTGTTTGTTTTGTCAAAGTGTCTGACCAACCAGAGTGTCTAAGATGTTCAAGGTTGTCCCTCTCTTTGAGCTTCTCCAAAAAAAGTTTGATCTTGTAACTCTAGTCTGGATTGAAACCTTTGTCCAGACGAGTCCTTGCTGATTGACTGACTATAATCCAACAGAATAATACATACAATTGTGCAAATTTGAATTGATGCTGGTTTAAAAGCATTAAAAATGACTTTGATTTAAATTTGATCCCCTTTTTCAACCACATTGTTATTTGATAATAATAATAAATAATAACAAAGAGTTTGTACTTTGTTTACAGCCTTAAACTTAAACTTCTGTTTATTACATAGACCAACAACCAGACATTTCTGGATGCTGGTCAATCTCTCTATCTATCAGTGTGTCTGCAGCTGTCCATTGATGTCCATATAATGCTAGAAATGATCGCTCTCTCTAATTGGTACACAAAAGTAATGAGAGGAAACAAAGCGGAGCTATCAGCTGAGCTGATTAATGCTTCTAACAGCACTGGCCTTTGATGAAAAGCACAGATCTATATGGCACTTTGTCAAACACACTCTCCCAGGACTTGGCGTGAGGTCCTTCTGCTTCAGGGGCAACGTGGATGAAGCCCAGTCAGCAATCCACGGTATCAGAAATCAAAGTCCTGACTTAGCTGGGAGGAGAAAGTGGGGAAAGAAGGCCAGTATTCACTGTCTGGTAATTAAAAGCCATTTTATCAGACCTCTTCTTTTGCCCTCTGCCTCTTTTCTGGCTATTGACAACCTGCTTAGCAAGAAGTGAGCTCAGTTTGACTCTAAATATATGAGGCACACTTATTTAACTTGGAAGCAAACAGGGCCAGGCAAGTAAACAAGACAGCACCGTAATGGTCTGACACCAGGGCCCGACGTGTGTTTGGGGCTGTTTGTGTTGTAACATGTGAAGTTTGTGAAGATCCGGCCGTGCTCCTCCAACACTGACGATGATTATTATTTCATTAGCCTGCGTCAAATGTATTGCTTTGCTTGTGTTTATTGATCGATGACCCCCACAGTCACTGTGTCTTCTGTCACTGTACTGCTGATATAGAAGATCCTCAAACCCCATTTGTTTTCTGGTTAGGAATGGATTGTTCTTGCACACATTGACCCTCATAGCGTTCTATTTACCACACTCTTTAACATTAATGTCATTATTTAACGGACACTGTGACGGCCGCAGTCCAAGGTCTTATTTACCCTGGACAGAACCTCCACGAGGGACAGAATTACAAACACTGGATCTGTGTCTGTGTTAAACTAAAAATATTTTTTAACTAATTATTATTTGGTATAAACCAGTGTATTTCAACCTTGGGGTCACGACCCCATGTGAGGTCATCTGGAATTCAAATGGGGGTCGCATGAAATGTCTATTCATCTATTAAAGAAAATGACTGATAAAAATATTTTTTAACTAATTATTATTCTTTTTCAAATAAAATGTAGCATAAAAAATATCTGAGCCAAAAAAGGTCAGAAACCACTGCAAAACCATTTTCGATTGATTGTTATTTATTCAAGTTACAAATGTTGCACTTTGATCTGTGTAGTAAAACTAAATTCTTTCGATTTTTCCAGGTTAAAAAACATATTTTTAAACACATTTTTTAAGTAAAAAACAAACACTGATATTACTTCACTTTGCATTAAAACAGCGATTTCTTCCGAGCTCAGTTGATCACTCAGTCATGGTGCTGTTGCCATAATGGACCTCTGTGTGATTCGGCACGTCTCCATGTTCCACGCCCACCTCCTTTAAAAACAGTGACAAATGCGTGTATTCTACTCTTTCTTCGCTGACACCGTCACACCAGTTTCTCCCTTCAGTACGTTCCTTTATTCACTGTCCCGTCTTCTGCATCAATTTTCGCCTTACTTTTTTTTTTTAGCTCCCACGGGCCACATGAAATGACATGGCGGGCCAGACCTGGTCCTTGGGCCTTGAGTTTGACACGTGTGGCACTAACAGTTAGTGCCACACGTTGGAACTCAGGCGTCCAGATAGAAACCCTACGGCTGAGGCAGAGATGAGTCTGTTCAGCCTTGAAGCCAAAGGCAGGTTGTTTATTGACGCTGCCAGAGTTGCTTTGCAGATCGATACGCTCGCTCCGTGATGGGCCTTCAACATGCAGACTCTAGATTGAGGTCAGGATATTTAGAGGGTTATGGCGCTCCAGCAGATATGAATGGCTGGTGGGTCCGCCATCATTCGTTGGTCTCCCCTTCAGAGTTCATCTTCGAGTTGACCTGTGATGAAGCACTGGGACTCTGAGAGTCACCGGTCTGAGGGTTATGACAAAACGCCCCAATATATGGACACGCCGGCGGGAGGAAATGGATTGTGTGACTACCTCTCAGCTCCCTCTCTCCCCCTCCCTCCCCCTCTGCACTTCCCACTGTCTCAGCCTCACCTCTGAGGCCCCCTTTATGGCCGCATGTTGTTTGTGTTGTTTCTAATAAAGAGGAAATATCGGCGTCTCTCTGACCTGCTTATAGAGGCCATCGAGAAATTTATGGAGTATGTCTCCTCCGCAGAGGCTGTTTTCAACACTGGCCGTCATAAATAACACATCACCGCTTCAACATAGATCTTTCTGCTCCTCATTCATGCCCTGGTCAAGTGGTTTTATTGAAGGTAAAATGTGACTAAGTAGTGGGTTTTTTTTTAAACAGACATAAAATAAAAACAGAAACTCGTAATAGAATTTAAATATTGGAGATCAGTAAAACTTTATCGGCCTGTGTATGAAGACCAATGGTTTCTCTCCACATGGTTTTGTACCAGTATTTATATGCGTTTGGTCTTAAATAGAAAATCTATGGTCACCACAAAGAAGAAGAGAGAGAGAGTATAAAGAGCTGCTGGAATTTAAAAACAAAGACATTACTTCTCAGTTCAGTTCAGTTCAGTTATGCTGTACACCCCCAAAAAATCCCTACTTAAAACCTGAAATCCTGATTTAAAAACTGTACAGCTACTTTCTCTCCCCTAATTATGGTTAACTGCCATCTGACGAACTCATCATTAGAAAGTCTCTGTTAAAACGACTGGAGGGAATGAATTAACTGTCTAAATTATATTTGTCGAACTAAAGGTTCGGTCCGTGTAGATCAGGGTGTCAATTTATAACATAATTACCTATAAATAACAAGATAGATATTTACAATTGTAAATAAATATATATAAATATATAAATTTGGAATGATTTCCTGATTAGCTACGATTTCACCAATATTTATTTTTACATACAAAAAAAAAAGTAATTGCAGCTCTTGCTGAATTTTATTTGGTTAAAGCCAAGGAGGAGCTGGAGAATTTTTATTAAAAAAAAACCTTCATTTTTTTTTTAAACCTAATAGCCCTGAATCTGAGGGCAGACCTCAACAAAGGCACTGATCTAAAGGAAGAGGCTTCACCCTGTGAACGTCTGACACAGAGACCAGCCGCACCATGACACACACTTATCCCTCTGTGATTTATGACTGTAAACAGTGAGCAAAAAAAAGAAGCCAAAAGACGACAACAAACATCAACATCAACAAACATCAACATCAACAAACATCAACATCAACAAACATCAACATCAACAAACATCAACAACAACAAACATCAACAACAACAAACATCAACGCTGTAACTGTATATACTGTACATGCGAATGCATCCATGTGAACGCCTGCGGCCGGGACGAGCGACCTCTCTCTAACCACACGTCGCTCTGGTGCGGCGTGTCAGGTGGCCTGTTTGTCAGCTGAAATATTCATCAAACAGATCAACGGAAAGTCTGGCTTGCTTTTCAACTGACAACTTAGTGTCAATTATTGATAGGCAGTGAGGTAATGACTGACTGGGCAGGCAGAGAGGAGGGTGAGGGTGAGGGTGGGAGTCCTTCTCTCTCTGTAAGCGATGCCTCTGACCTTTGGTGTGTGAAAGAGCGCATCATGGTCGCTGCTCACATGTCATATATAGCCCGACGCGAGCAGCCGAACAGTGAAAGTAATAAAGTAAAACACAAAGACTTCTGGAGACTTCTGCTCCCCCACGAACACATCACTCTGCTGCAGCCTGACATCTGCTCCGAACACATACATATTCAAACAAGTAAAAAAAAAAACGACATTCATTCAGGGCACAAACATTGTTAAAGCATTTTAAATCAGAGCAATAAAACAAGTTTGGCCTTGAACGCCACAAAAAAACAAACAAAAAAAAACTGCTGCTGCTCCTGCCTGTGTTCTACAGTTTCACTGCTGTGTCCAGAGGCGGCCGCGTTTGGTGAGAGTTTGATGCCCACAGATGTTTCCTCACACACACACACACACACACACACACACACACGCACACTGACTGATGTCTGTCCCAGACTCTTTCAGATGATCAAGGATTTCTTAAACATTTGCTCTTTATGCTGAAAGGAGTGTTTATCATCAGGCAATACCACAGCTACCATTGTCACTGTGTACGTGTGTGTGTGGGTGTGTGTGTGTGTCCACGCTCTCTCATTTCGGGACATAACAAAGCCCTGGAAATACAACCTCCAGGGGTCTTACCTGGATGTGGCAGCCCCCACTTTTTCATTAAAAACTGC